ATGAAAACACTATTAAGAAACAAGCTATTCAACCTATCTTCTATGTCACACTGAACAAAGTAGGAACAGGAACCGGAACCTGTGTCATGGGGTGACGTAGACCCCCAACATACTGATATACCTCGTATCTCTTCTGGTCTTCAGCTGCCTTCTTAATCCAAGGGATCTTCTCCTTCTTCTCCATGGCTTTCCAGGTAGATTCCATGGCATTCTGTGCCTTCTTCCTGTCATTCTGCAGGAGGAACATGAATGCAAATCAGACTGCCACAGCACAGGACCTGGGATCTCTAACCAACTATAAGGTTTTTGAAAAACCCTGGGGGACACAGGGAACCGCAGATCCTGTGATGTATTTGAACAAAAATATGATTTTCTAGCACAAACCCACCAACCATCAGCAAAACTAGCCATCATTACAGCTCTGCTCTTTTGTATTGTCCTAATTGTGGACTCATTAACACCAATGAGTCTCACCACCAAAGCCACAAGTTTCACCATGAAAACACCCAACAAGCACATCTAATTTCCTTTCCAATTCCATAAGATTTCTTGCCCTGTTTGCACTTTCAGCCACAGAAATGAGTTGATGCTTAGGAGCCACGTTAATGGACAAAGCTATTGGTCTAAAAGGTGGATCAACACAGAGTGATCAATCAACATCCCTTCAGTATAACTGCGCAGGAGAAGGCATGGTGGGAAGATCAGCATCAATGGGATGTGCGGAGTCAATACAGACATGTGCATCTTGAAACTACAAGAAACGTCTTTACACAAAGGGTTGTGGGAGTGTGGAACAAGCTACCCAATCATGTTGGTGAAGCCAATATACTCTGGTTAAATAAATTGGTTGTATAAAGACTAAATTACACACCACTGTATTTCACTCCCATAGTCTCACCCTGTACTTGGCGAGATAGTCTCCGATGACACTCTGCTGCCACATCTCCTCGGCCGTCTTTGGCGTCTCTGGTAACCGCACCCTTTTCTTGCCATCATGTTTGTCCTTCACCAGGCTCTGTACCCGCTGGTCTGGCACATTGTCCGCCTCACGGTACCTCTCCTGGCACAGAACACACAGCATGCAGGTCAACTCCCTGGGAAGGATCTGGAACCTTTCTTCACATTTTCTGAACTTCTGTCTGAGCAGGGAAGGTTCTTCTAAGGAAGGCAATATCTGTTTTTTTTTAGTATATTATTATCTTATAATGCCAGGGCTGCTCACCAGAGAAATGGTGTCAATGTCACGAGAGGTGTGTTCCTGTATTATCTGTAAAAGCTCCAATACACACAATAGCCACTAAAACACTTATATAAAGAAACAGAATAATGTGGTGGTCTCTAAAATTGGACTGTGCAGACGCTCTAATCTTATCTTTGTCTTGCAAGAATGCTCAGTGGACAACATGCTCAGGCTGTGACCAATATCAGCCACAGGTAGCTCAGTGGCCTCCACTCCCCTTCTAATCTTAATCCATGAGGGCACCTTGCCTTGACATTTTTGACACTTTGAATTGCAGCTTTAGTTTCAGACATTATGGGTCAAAAGAGCTAAAAATGCAAAAGGGGTAGTAGCACTGAAAACAATTAGCAATTTTACAATCCTACTAGCAGTTAGCAGAGTTACCTCTCATTAGCAGAGTGCTTTTAACCTGGAAATAAAAATCATGACACATTTTACTAATGTATATTTCATAATGAGGAATTTCTTAATATTCTTTTTACTTTTGTTTCTTAAATGGAGCATTGAAAATTAATTCTGTGAGGCGTGAGCATACTACAATAACTGGGTGCAGCTAATGCAGCTCATTGTGAAGTGTAAAGCACAATGACAACAATTTCTGCACTTAATTCAAACCCAGTCATTTGCCAAGTGCCCTAACATGACAACAAAATACATGATCTATGAAGTTCTGTGCTCCAGACTATTGGTGTTGAACGTAACAGTTTAAATGAATTACACCAAACACCAAATCATAACAGACACCATAAAAGACCAAATTATACGGTCAGCAGCCATATCACTCTGCAACTCAGAACTGGCAACCCACTGAAGCTAAGCAGGTGTGAGCCTTTTCAGTACCTGGATGGGAGACCTCCTGGGAAAAACTAAGGTTGCTGCCGGAAGAGCTATTAGTGGGGCCAGTAGGGGGCGCTCACCCTGCAGCCCATGTGGGTCCTAATGCTCCAGTATAGTGACGGGGACACTATACTGTAAACAGGCGCTGTCCTTCGGATGAGACATAAAACCAAGGTCCTGAGGACTGTGGTCATGAAAAATCAGTTTTTCGAAAAGAGTAGGGGTGTAACCCTGGTGTTCTGGCCAAATTTCCCATTGGCCCTTACCAATCATGGCCTCCTAATAATCCCCATCTATGAATTGGCTTCCTTACTCTGCTCTCCTCCCCACTGATGTATGGTGAGCGTTCTGGCGCACTATGGCTGCCATCACATCATCCAGGTGGGGCTGCACATTGGTGGTGGTGGTGGAGGGGAATCCCCATTACCTGTAAAGCGCTTTCAGTGGAGTGTCCAGAAAAGCGCTATATAAGTGTAAGCAATTATTATTATAAAATATTATAAAAAAAAAATCACAATTATTTCAGTAAACAAGAGTAAGAACTAGACATTAATGGCTCTCTCCTTCTAACCTTTAGACCACCTAAGTTAAAGGTGGAAAAGAAGAATGACTATTAGACACAGATTAAGACTGATCTAATATTTCCAAAGCCACTGAAATACAGTAAACACTCAGTTTGACATTCGCAGTATCTCACCTTGCCTGAAGGGGATTTGGCCCGGTGAGGGCTCCCGGCATTCCCCACCCCTAGTCGGCTCCCTCCCAGCTTCTCCTCTGTGAGAACCCTGTCTCGCTCCTCTTCTGGCAGGCTCTGAAAATACAGCACTGTGAGCAGCTGAGACAACACGACTGCACAGATACACACCACACTGCAACCAGCACTGTGAGCAGCTGTAACAATACGACTGCACAGACACCACACTACACCGAGCACTGTGAGCAGCTGGGACAACATGACTGCGCAGACACACACAATACTACAGCCACCACTATGATCCAATGGGACAACATGACTGCGCAGACACACATCACACTACAGCCAGCACTTTGAGCAGCTGGGACAACATGACTGCGCAGACACACACCACACTACACCCAGCACTTTGAGCAGCTGGGACAACATGACTGCGCAGACACACACCACACTACACCCAGCACTTTGAGCAGCTGGGACAACACAACTGTGCAGAAACACACAACACTACAGCCAGCACTGTGATCCTCTGGGACAACATGACTGCGCAGACAAACAATACACCCAGCACTGTGAGCAGCTGAGACAACACAACTGCGCAGACACACACCACACTACATCCAGCACTGTGAGCAGCTGGGACAACACCAATGCTGTTTCTTCTACTATCTACTCCTTTAAAGCTTTATAACACCTTCCCAAAAATTATCCATATTCTTTTAAGATAACCTGGTACTTAAACACAGTGCAATTTGTAAACAGATGAGGAAAACATGTCTGCTTACACAGCACACATCACACATAGACCATGAATGTGAAACAATGGCTTAACAACATACACACTGCAATTAACTAGAAAAGCATCCACCTTGCAGACCAGGGTTACACAACTGCAGTCCTGGAGTGCCTTAAGACCTTTAGTAGCTGAAGACCTGGGATAGGTGTTGAATTAGTCATGTTAAGCCAATAATTAAGTGAATTAGAGCTGACGTAGAATTGAAGATACTGTAGCCCTCCAGCTCTGGAGTTGTGTAGCCCAGCAGTAAAGAAACCAGACACTACTGATACACATGCAGGGAACCCAGTGTGCCATCAGAAATCACACACCTCTAAAAACCTCTGAAGGTCGATCTCATACTGCTTCTTTTTCTGAAATGTAACAAAAGAACAACACAAGATTAACAAAATGACAAGCAATATTTTTGTTGAGATAAACTGGAATCACCATTTTAACTGTCACTCACAGGGGCAGCTATGACACCTGTAATATATGTATTCCTGATGCTGCCTCTTGAAATAACAGAAGATCTGTTCAGAACAGACCCATCAGAACAGTTCTACCTCCAGACCTGTTGATCTAGACTCTACAATCTTCTAGATCCCACTTCAAGAGCACCCTGCCCGCAACCGCTGACCTGCTCGCAGCGCTTCTGGAACATGTCCTTCTCCCTCTGGCTCATCGTTTTCCACCGCTTGCTGCACAACACCATGCGCTCTGTGCTGGGGACATCCTTCATATTGACCATCAGCTCCGCGCAGTACAGGGAGTAGCCATTCCTGCAGGTAGCAGGTAGAATCAGTCCTTCCTGCTTTCTGCCGAAACACACTGGCAGTGTGCAGTAACCGTGAAGGGCACATTGCCAGACAATATGGACAAAACCATCAATTTACTCTTTAAACATGAACCATGTTTTGGATTGCTATCCATCTTACCATGGAAGAGGGATATACATGAACTACAAAAGCAATTCACAAGAGACAAGCAATTCAGAAAGTAACACACTGTTTCAATACAACTTCTGAGACCTGAGCCTCAAAGCTCCCGTCTTGGAGTCTTGTTTTATCAAGTAATCTGAACCAGACACCTGATTGACTTCCACCTCAGGTCTAAAGAAGTTCATGACATAAGGAATCAGCAAACTTAGAAGGGAGGAATCACAAAGTGTTTTTCAATTTATCCATAATTTTAAACAACACCACCACACTAAAAAAATAAAAAAACATCAGTGCTCACTTTTTGTTTTTTTGGGGGGGGTTTTGTAGCTTTTATACGACCACACTAAAAGGCTTGCTGGTGTTTGTGAACAGTGAGACAGGCAATGATGACAGTGAAGAACAGCAAATGGGTGAAAGAGTAAAGCAGGAGCAGGAGTGATACTAAAACAGAAACACATCCACAACAGCAAAATAATAACAGAATTGGAAAAACATTTTACTTTTATGGAATGAAATGCCGTAAATAATAGCGTTATTAACCTAGAACCTGCAGGAGTCAAACTGAAAATTCGGACACACAGAGAAGAATCAAAAAGAAGCTGAGAAATGTAAATAAAAGCACAAAAAACAGAAAGTATGTTTTTGAAGCTGCTTTTCTGGATTATTACAAGAAACAGCAGGAGAACATCATGCCAAACAGACTAGATTGACTGAATGGTCACCCCTTGGTTGTAACCGTTTCTATTGTTCTTGAAATAAATAAATGGAATATGTCTTGATGAAAATTCATAAATACTAAAGCACCGACCGGGCTTGTTAAAAACAGAACTGCAAATAATACAGTGAAATTGGTTGGTAGTGAAATACAACAAGAAACAACTTCAGTATTCAGTCTTTTACAGACTTCAATTTTGCTTCTGTAAAACATCACAGTGAGCTGGGACGGCTGAGGTCAAGGAGACAGTGTACGTACGGGGGCGGTTTAGTGGGCCGACCATCAAACTTGTCCTTGAGTTGGCGCTCTGCCTTTGTAAGGACTGACTTGACATGCTCCTCCGCGTTACATTCAGGGTGTGCCTCAAGGTAGGCCTTCATTCTGTCCTGCACGGAGAGAGCCAGCACAGTCACACAGCTACCACTGATCTGATATTTCCCCATTCCACCTCTGTACCAGGCCCCACAGATGCTCAAGGCAAAATATTATTTTCCTGTCTGCAACAGTTTGCAATACGTGTTTGATAATAGTTAATTCTATTGTTGCCAAACCAAGGTTCTAATTATACCATGTTTCCCATTGGCCTCTTCCAGCTGTAGCTGAGCAGGGCAGTCTGGCTGAGGCAGAACTGTAATGTAGAGACCTGGAGAGATGCAGTCCAGCAGCTACAATAAACAGCCTTCATTTTCTCAAGGCCTAGAACAATTTGCCTATGATACGTTAAACAGATAGTGTGTTCAGTTAAGTTATTTAGATTACTTAATTGATTATAGGGGTGATAGATTACTTAATAGATTAGGGCGTGGATCTTGGTTAATTTACTTACGCACATAAACATGTAGAACAAAAATCAGAATATCCTTCAGTACTAGTTTTCCCTTCACTGAAACACTACTTGCTTAATTGATTAAAACAAACTGGAATGGAGAGGCCTCCAGGACCAGGGTTTACAGACCACTGACCAGGGCAGGTCAGACAGCACAGTTCTGCCTCTCAAATGCAGCCGGACCAGACTGTCTTGGGCAGAATTGTGTTAAATAGAGAGTGTGCTAAAACCTGTAACGACGTTTTAAATTTGAATAATTTTACCTCAACAAACAAGCAATCAAATATGATTTGTAACAGTCAACCCCAGAGAGCACAGATTGCTGAACAACCAATGTACTCAGACGTTCCTCCATGTCCTGGTCTCCTCGTTCTCAACACCTGGACCCCTCACCTCATAGTCCTTCTGTAACTCCAGGGCCTTGCTGATCCACTTGAGGCGCTTTTTGTCAGACAGCTGAGACCACTGTCTGCGCAGGGCCTCCTTCAGCTCCTTCTGACTCACCTGGAAGAGGACGACAGGCAAGAGGAGGAAGTGAAGAAGGGGCCACACTCAGAGCAGTTTACCCCTCCATTCACGCCGAACTCCACATCAGCTTCCTGAGCTGTGCTCTAAACGACTGGGCGTCATGACTCAAACTGATGTGTAAAGGATCATGTCTCCATCCCTGCTGTTCTCAAGAAAATAAGCACTCCAATTTCTTTCCATAGCTTTTAATTTTGCTGTGTACTGTGATGCATCGGTTAAGGTTCCACACGTAGCCCATTTTTAGTCTACTTTTCCTTGTAAGGATCTTACTAGCAAAGTGCTTGCATCACCCTGTGGCCAAACGCAACCTCCTCCCCATAAACAGTGCCACTCACATCTGGGTGTAGCTTCATGTACGTCTTCTTCTCATGGTTGTACCAGAGCTGCTGGGGGGTCTTGGGCTTTTCCGGGATGTCCGACTTCTTCCTCTCCTGGATGAGGTCAGGATGCTCCTCCCTGGAAAGGACGCGGTCACATGAAACAGAAACATGAACAAAGACCTGTGTGATTGTTTAATGTTCTTCCTTGGAAAACAGACATAGAGCCCAGGTGTTCAAAATTTTAACAAAGCCACACAGAGGTAACTGACTCGAATAAACACGCACCAAAAAACTGAGTGTGGCAATGTCATCCTGAAGGTTTTGATTACAAAGAATGTATATAATTCAACAAATCTACTTTACTTACTCGACTTAGTAAGAACTTTACATCTTAACATGACTCTCACACGTAAGAGAAAGGGGATTAAAGCCTACACTGAATTGTGCCTGTGTATATCTGAAACTGGTGACAGAAGTATGGTGATAAAGTACGGACAGTAGGTGCTTATACACTACAAACTGTCCAAGAAACACACACATTACATTACTTTTGAGAAGAATCCAAGGTTGTGTCTGCATTATTATGAAACATGATTTAAGCTAAAAACATTCAGACATTAAACTGGAAATTCTACAATATCAACTTGGATAACACAAAAATATAAACTTTCGGTAAATGAACAGTATGGCCCCATCTAACAGCTGTGACTTACAGGCAGAGGCAATAAGGGGAAACTCAGATGACGCCTGCTAATCTGAACTGTTGTCTGTTTGACATTTCAAGAGCAGAAAGACCACTAACAAAACAAAGCCACTTACTTGAACCGAGCCATGTTCTTCTTAAATGACTCCTTCTCCTCCTGGAAGTCCTGCATGTACTTCAGCTGTGAGCAAGGACAAACAATTAGTCCATGTGCAGGAATTGCGATTTATGATGCTGTTTATAGGCCAACAGGAAAATTAAAACAATGGGGCAGAGCAGTGGCACTGTGGCTAAGGATCTACACCTGTGGCTGGAAGGCTGCCGGTTCAAATCCCACAGCCGGCAGAGGAATCCTACTCCGTTGGGCCCCTGAGCAAGGCCCTTAACCCCAACTGCTCCAGGGGCACCATATAAATGGCTGACCCTGCGCTCTGACCCCAGGCTTCTCTTTCCCCGTCTGTGTGCCTGTGTGTCTCATGGAGAGCAAGCTGGGGTATGTTAAAAGACAAATTCCTAATGCAAGAAATTGTATGTGGCTAATAAAGTGACCTTACCTTAATGGGGGTGAGAGGCAGGGCAGAGAAGGTGTTAGCATTGCTCCCTAGCAGCTATGGAGCCCTGGGTTCATTACCTGGGATGCTATCTATGCAGCGTTTGCGTTATTCCCGTGTTTGCATGGATTTTCTCCAGTGCTACGGTTTCCTTACACTATCCAGAGATATACAGCTGGGTTAACTGGATTCTGGGAAAATTGGTCATGGTTGTGGGTGTGTGTGTTTGTGTCTGTGATGGACTGGCATCCTCTCCATGGTGTATTCCGCCTTGCTCTCAATGCCTCCCAGGAAAGGCTCTGGGTCACTATGACCCTGGATTCAATTAGTGGTTATTTAAAAGCCATATGGCGTGATGTTAATGGGATTAAAGAGTATATTACTGGGGATGTCAGACTGGATAAAACAAACCTAATTCGGTTGTACCTTCCCCTGTCACAAGGAAACAGGTAAAAACAGGTGGGGCCCCTGCGTTTGGGCAACAACACAACACTGCCTGCAGATCTACTGCAAGGTTGAATATTTCTGGAACAGCAGAACATTATACGCTCAAGCACAGAGTATTCTACGGGACGTCCAGGTAATGACATATTTTAGGAGTTTAGGTGTTAAACAGAAGGGTGTCAATGTGAAATGACATGGTCAATGTGAAATACTCTAAGGTACATTGAAGACCATTGGGGTACATTGGGGTACACATTGCCTTCTACACACAAAGAGGTGAGATGTAGCACAGTGCACAGGCACCACACTATAAAACACACGTCATCACCACGAGGAACGATGTTCAAGGTCTAAGACATGAAGTGATAAATCAAATGCCCTGAACCAGGCTAACCATGGCAGACTGTGGAAAGGACTAGAGCAACAGCATGCAGGCCCCCTCCACACAGCTACAGCCCCAAGCCAGGTTACTGGGAGAGGCTCGGGGGTCTCAGGGTCACCTTCTTCTTCTCGGGCAGCTCCTTGTACTTCTTCGACAGGATTTTTGTGAGGTCCAGGTTGCTCATCTCGGGGTGAATCTTGGCATATTTGGCCCGTTTCTCCATGAAGAAGCGGAAGTAAGGTGTCAGGGGCTTCTTGGGGAAGTCAGGATGCGTCTGGGGGGAGGAAACAACATTCAGAAAATAGCAAAGCGCTAGCTGGTAGCATGAGGTACAATACAGGAAACAGCAATAGCCGATTCAAATGGTTTGGAGCTCTTAGCTTCAGGAAGACTACAGCAGATTGCCTGATTAAGAGTTTAAAATTGTGGAACAGCTAAAGGCTCAATAAAAATTTCATCAAAGTAATTGAAATGACAAGAAATGATCATTTTACTATGCTGAATGCAAATGCAAAACCTTTTATCTAATTTTAAAACCCCCTGCAACCAATTTCTTTTAAGAGACCATGTTGCTCAAGGTCATTATTCTCATCTTGTGTATCGCGAGACTACTAAATGCCAAGCTAATAAAATAACTAAATCTGACTAATTTCAAGCCAAAAAGGGTCTACTTCAAATTGCATTTAGTATAGAAAATATTTTCGATATTTGATAGAAACCCAAGACCACCACTTTATATTTGAGTTCTAGTTTTAATTATGTGGCTAGTGTATCAACACAGCAAACTTATATTACTTGTAGAGGCGAATTCCATTGTTTCAGTAATCAAGGGGATGGATCTTCAGCATTGTCCGTAACAGTCTACACAAAGACACAGGCAGCTTTTTGAATGGAGATGCTCAAAAATAAATCCTTCTATGACTAAAAAATAAAACTGCAGAAGTGAAAATTAAATATCCTATAATTTCAAGCCGAAGTTATATGTTTGTGATTATTTATTACAGTTTTTAGTCGTGGAGTAAATTGCATCGTAAATCACACCCATTTAATTATGCATACAAAAATCAAAGGCTGGAGTGCAGATACTCAGATGCAGTTCTGAGTGTCCACAGCAAGCCTGGGAAGAATTCACCTATATCAGACACGGGCAACTCCAGTCCTTGAGAAATTCATTCTGACAGGTTTCAAATGTAATTTAGAATAAGCAATCAATTGATACTAAATCAGAATCAAAATCATATGATTTAATTTTTTTATTTAGAATCTCCTATTATCTATTATTTTTGTTATACCTAGCTGATCTGTTTTCAAATTAAATAGGAATTACAGTGCCTTCCAAAAGTATCAAGACCCTTCCTATGATGTCTTATTTAAGGAAATTAAAAAATTACATATACACATTTTTAAATGTAATCTTTTACTCATAACTTCAATGCTCAAACTGAAGACTTCTAAGGGTAAAATAAGTTACAGTAAAAATCAGCACAAAAATAAGGAGAAAATTGAATTATGTCAATTGCATAAGTATTCAGACCCATGAACTGAATATTTGGTAGAAGCATCTTTGGCAGCAATTACAGTCACAGCTCTTTTTGGGTATGTCTTTACCAACATTGTACAACGACATGAGGACATTTTTGCTTGTTCTTCCCCGCAGAGGTGCCCAAGTTCTCTCCTGTTACTTAGAGAGTTTATGGACCACAGTCTTCAATTATTTTCATAAACTTTCTAACAGATTCTGTAGGCTTTACATCAAAATTCTGACTGGACCACTCACAGGCATTGACTTTCTTATTCTTAAGCCATTCAAGTGGAGGTTTGGCTTGTGTTTTGGATTAGTGTCCTACTGAAAGGTTGCTGTTTTTGGTTTCAAGCAGGAGTTTCCTCCAAGATTTTCCAGTATTGTACTTTGCTCCAGGTTCCCAGTTGCCGCTGATGAAAAGCAAACTATGACATAGTACTGCCACCATCTTGCTCGAAGGTAGTGGAGGTGTCATCTAAGTGATGAATTATGTTGGGTTTGCACCAGATGTAAAGTTTTGCATTTAGATGAAAAAGGTCCAATATTGTCTTGTATATACCTTAATATAAAGGTATACCTACACTGTTATGAAATATAGATCCTTGTCTTCACAGGTGAATCTGTGTTGGAAATACACTACCTGACTGAGGAACCTTCACAGGTGGGGTTATTTAGTCTTAAACATGTAAAATACTATAACTGCACACAGACATCACCATGTGTGGCTCACTAAGGTAAATTTTGTGTTCCTAAATTAAATTAGATTTACCACAGCACAGTGTTTGAACACTAACGCAATGATGACTTTTACATTTTTCCTTCCTAGTAAAAGGTCTGTTTACTTCTTTTTGTTTTTTGCTTAGAATGTGTGGATTAGGTGGTGTATATAACAAATATTAATGTTCCTTCATGTGTCATGATTTCAAGCTTTAAAGCCACAAAACAAGAAAAGGCTCTGAATTCTTCTGAAAGATACTGTGTGGATTTTTCATGTTTCAGGCTGCAGCTACCATCCCTGCAACCACACACAGGGAAAAACAGGGAAGTGGATGTGGACTGCTCTGACTAACACACCTTTGAACCTGTATATCGCAGGCAATATAAATTATAAATTAAATATCACAGGCAATATAGCCTCTTATTAGAAGCTCAGCTTGGATGGGGGGAGAGGTGAGTCATTCACCAACAGCAATATGGCCTGCAGGCACCACACTGGACGGCCACAGCGGTTGCTGAGTCGCTAAGGCCCGAGGGACTCTTGACTGACTAATTTAATCAGCCAGTAAATAACTGTGCACCTCCACCTGAGGAATTCCAGTCACAGTCTGTTACTGACGCGATTCTCTGTGCCTCCGCTTGGGGAGTCCCAGTCACTGTTAGTGCTATGAACCTGTGGGCCTTCCCCTGGTGGATTCCCAGTCACCATTAGCTAGTGCCTTGATCCTGTGTGCCTCTGCCTGGGGAGTCCCAGTCACAGTCGGCTAGTGACGTTACCCTATGACCCACTGCTTGGGGAGTCCCAGTCACAGTCAGCTAGTGATGTGACCCTTTGACCTACACTTGCTCAAACCTGAGATCACAGAGTTCATCCTGTGCTAAAACAAGCTCCTTTACTTGATGAGTCACTCAGCAGACCCCATAATTTAACAAATTTGTGATTTATCCAAATACTTGACTCAATTCATCTAAAAACTTTAATGAATTCCAGAGGACTGAAGCTGCCACCATCCCTGATCTAAATTCATTAAAATAGTTCATTTGTAATTCATTTTTAAATTGTCATTAAAATACTCGATGAACAAATAGTGTTTCTTAGTACTTAAGAGTGCTGGCTGCCTTCTGTACCTTGAGCTTCTTGCCTTTGTAAGGATTTTTCACCTTCTCCATGGCCTCGATGATAAGCTCTGTCATGGTCCGGAACTTCCTCACCTGAAGACACATGAAACCGCAACAGGCGCGTTGAAGTAATTGGTCTCCATTGCAAGCCTTTCCCGCAGCCCTCCAAAGAGATCTTTTCAGAATGATTAGTGGAAAACTAAACACCCTGACTAGACCACACACAAAGTGCATGGTGAACTCACATTGATTAAACTCACATTTAATCAAGCCAAATGTGGGGTACAAATATACTGTATAAAGGAACTAAGTTTAAATTCTCTGTGTATTTTATGCTGCAAGAGTGGGAACTTTGTTTGGGCCCACTGTGTAAATATCAACTTGCTGCACAAGCTTTTGAGCCAGGACCTGTTGCGATTTTTGATAGGTCAAACTAATCATTCCCAATCTAGTCAAATCCCTGGCACTCTCCTGCTAGACATAGCTTTTCTCATGTGACTCTATTGCTCCAGTCCCTCCATTAGCTCCCTACCACCACATGTATATCCTTAGTTCTCACCTGCTGATGTTTCTGCTGCCTCACTTCTTGCCAGTTGTACCTATTCACTGTAAATTTGGAAAACATACCAACAGGGCATGTACATTCCTGCTCTGTATCCATATATAAATACTACAGACATACCACATGTAAATCATATAATATATAATGCATAATTATGTTACATATATATTATACATATGCTCAATTAATTGGACCATTGACACCTGACTGAGGCAGCTGTACACTTTATTAGATTATTCTGTTTCATTTTGTTCGTTCTGCGCTAGTGTTGCTCTTCCAATGCGTACAAAGCCTCATTATCTTTTTAAAATTTATTTTTACCTAATAGTACCTACATGACTGGTCCTTGCACTTATAGTTGATGCATATTTGTATATTTTGTGCATCACCTAGATAAGGGTGCTTCAAAAGCAAATAACAACATTATTTGATTACCTCTGAGAGAGGGGTGCTTATTGTACATTACCAGAGTTTTCAAGGACTTCAGTGACCTTTCCCTATTGTACTTGTATTTCATAAATATAGCGTATGGGTTTTAAGGCTCTAAGGTGCTGCCAAACATTTACCTTACCATAAGGCACCACATCCAGAAATATTGAGATCTTAGGTTACCAGGGACTGCTGGACATTGTGCAAACACAGAAGCAGTTAGGAATACCACTACATGTACTGTACTTCGAGGATTTTCAAGTTTTGTATGCTTTGGGCTCTTGTACAGACTTTTCGGAGAAAGCAGGTATGCCATGTCTTATATTTACACCTCCATAGCTGCCTGTGTGGCTTCTCTCAAAATACATTTCATACACATAGTACCTGCTACTCTGTTTCTGCATGCACTTGCAATTTAAAGAGTCCAAGACAGATGGAGCTGCAATGTCTTGCTCGTTTCTCCATGCTGAGTGGGACTGTTCATGTTCATGCCCTTCTCCTGCCTATCAGCCCTCCAGCTGGGCAGCCAGCTTGGCATCTACACCTGCTCGGGACCCGAGCCCTCTGCTCCAGAAATGGTTTGCAGTGCTGCTCAATGAAGTCTTCTGTGTGTGTCTGTGAGTGGTGAAGATCATCAGCCCTGAGCAGTCCATCCTGCTACTCACCACCGTGGAGACTTTCAGCCACTTCTGCTTGCACATGTCGCTGCTGTAGGCCCCGAAGCACACCTTGTCCCAGTCAATGTGTGACTCTGTGGTCTTGTACTTCAGGGAGTCGCCCTCGGGCAACAGGCTGCGGATCCGCTCCAGCAGAGTCAGGCAGTCTTCCTGGCTCCACTCATCCCCGTCTGCCACGCACACATCACACTGTAACTCTGGCAGTAGGACACACAGCATACACTTCGAGTCTGTTCTTTCATCCTTATACTGACCAGATGGCCAGGTGTGAACCCGCACAAAGAGAGGAACCTCCACTACTCCACAGTGAAACACTGACAGTTCTGTTCACACCACTGTCACCAGCAAAAAAAACAAAATCAAAACACGAGGGATTCCCATGCACTACTACACAAAGCAAGCTGATAGAGACAATGTACTCAGCTCTACACCAGGCCTGAGAAATCTCTTGTTCCAGAATTAAAATCTTTAACTTTTCATAACAACTAAATATTTCAATAAACAATAAATTAAAAGTTTTGAAGTACCAATCATGAAACTGAATGTATTTAAGAAATTCTTTGTTTATTTTAATCGTTGCATTAATTTGTCCCAAGTTCACTTCAGATACGATGCAGGATTGGCCACACAACCCTGGCAGAGAGACAATAGCTGTGGGGTTTGCAGGCCATGAGCCCTGACAGATGAGAGACCAGTGAGGCAGAAGAGTGGGGAAAAATGCAGGCAGGCAGGTACCTTGATCTGACTTGAGGCACTCGACTTGAGATGGACTGGAGAGGCTGCTGCTCCCGTTCATGGTGGAGAGATGTGTGGGCACCTCCTCCTTGTGTCACTGCGACTCTCACAGCTCTGAAATACAGAGCACACTGTTGGTCAGCACTACAGGTCAGACACACACACTACACAACCACACAGTGGGTCAGCACTACAGGTCAAACACACACACTACACAACCACACTGTGGGTAAAAACAACAGGTCAGACACGCACACACACTACACAACCACAGTGTAGGTAAAAACAACAGGTCAGACACACACACACTAACTAACCACACTGTGGGTCAGCACTAAAGGTCAGACACACACATGACACAACCACACTGTGGGTTAAAACAACAGGTCAGACACACACACACGCAGTTGGTTAAAACAACAGGTTAGACAAACACACACTACACAACCACACTGTGGGTAAAAACAACAGATCAGACACAGACTACACAGCAACGCTGTAGGTCACCACCACAGATCAGACACACACACACACAACACTGTAGTGCTGTTTTGAACACCTCTTGCACCTGACCACAACTGCAGAAAAAACTAACCTTTAGGCCAGAGCTGCATTTTTTCTTATTTGTTTACATTTTCATTATTTCATTCCAGTTCCTGGAGTCATTTTCTGATCACCATAGAGATTAGCACTTGGTGCCACATTTCTAATTTGGCCTCAACTTTATACAAAATGGGATGTATTAAAAATGTAGCATGAACAGAATTAAAACTTCTCTAACTCAACTGAGCATCCATATTATCTACAGAATCTAACTACGGAATACCAGACTTATGTAAAGGCCTGTCTTACACAGCATAACTAGAGTTCATTTAACACGCATGATCTTATTATTTTGGCAGGTGTTAAAGTCAAAATATTTGTTTCTCATTGGACGTGTCACATGAAGTACAGTGACTTAACATTTCCTTCACCTTTCTACTTTTTTATACAAAATAAAAATTAATGCCATTTTCAGTGGAAAGAGTACAACATTCACACAGAACATCTGTGACATCCAAAAGCAAGATATTAACGGCCTTACATTAAGCCAGCCGTTCTTAACCTGGGGTGCACACACCCTCTGTACACACACCCCTTTCTGGGGTGTGAGACATGCCAGACTTTTTGAGAAGGCAAGTCATCAAAAACACAAATTCCAAATCCACAGATTGAAAACACAAATTAAGCACAGGCATGTTAGTGCAACTACTTTGTTTCATCAAACCAAGGTATTTTAACTTAAATTTTAAAAAGGTGTAATTGTTCATGTATTCTTTATTTTAATAATAATAATTGCTTACTCTTATATAGCGCTTTTCTGGAAACTCCACTCAAAGCGCTTTACAGGTAACGGGGACTCCCCTCCACCACCACAAATGTGCAGCATCCACCTGGATGATGCAATGAAAGCCATAGTGCGCCAGAGCGCTCACCACACATCAGCTATCAGTGGGGAGGAGAGCAGACTACTGTAGCCAATTCATAGAGGGGGATTATTAGGAGGCCATGATTGGTAAGGGCCAATGGGAAATTTGGCCAGGACGCGGGGGTTACACCCCTACTCTTTTCGAGAAACGCCCTGTGATTTTTAATGACCACAGAGAGTCAGGACCTCGGTTTTACGTCTCATCCGAAGGATAGCGCCTGTTTACAGTATAGTGTCCCCATCACTATACTGGACCATTAGGATCCACATGGACCACAGGATGAGCGCCCCCTGCTGGCCCCACTAACACCTCTTCCGGCAGCAACCTTAGTTTTTCCCAGGAGGTCTCCTATCCAGGTACTGACCAGGCTCACACCTGCTTATCTTCAGCAGGCTGCCAGTTGTGCTGCAGAGTGATATGGCCATTATTATTATTATTAATAATAATAATAATTTTACTGTGAAAAAAAATGTAATTCTGTCTCTTTCATGCTATAGTTATGATACACCTTGGGATTAAAGAACTGACACAGTTATTTTTTTTTTATAAGGGGTGCAGGCTGCGGTAAGAGTTAAGAAATGCTTCATTAAGCTATGTAAAACGACACCGTTAACAAGGAGTTGTATACCACACGACCGGCCCCGCCTCCGGCCACACAGGTAACAACTCCCCGCTGTCCCTTGCTTTTCAAGCGCTCCGCATTCAGTCCGTAGAGCGAGGAAGGAACAGATCGAGTGTGATTAGCGATATTCATAACGGATCTAGTTTTTATTTGCTCCTTAAAGCCTGGAAACCGGATAGCTGCTAATGCATTCAGGATTCAGCCTGCTGGAAGCCGGCCTAAAGTGACCAGCCAAGCGAAGCGAATCCAAGCCAACCCAGCGGGAGTGGCTCTCTGCCGGGCTTCGGTGAAGAGGGTAGGCAGAGGGCAAAGCCTCCTTTTTTCCATGATTGTTAATACATTTACTGTTTTCCTCGGTTAGATAATGTTAATGTTAGCACTTGAAACAAAGGTTGTCTGTTTTCAGTTGTTTTGAGGTTGGAAACCGAAGTTGTCGGCACACAGACGCCTCGGTCTCTCTTCGCGTTCTCCGGCCGGGCCTGCGCTCTTTGGTTCGGGGTTTTGAAGGCACAACTAGGGGAGTTATTGATCGTACAAGCAAGAACTACCTTCACTGTTGAAAAATTCAGTCACAGCGATGTAAAGATTCAGCTGATGGTTGAAATAACAGATTAGGAACAAATCGGTTTATTTTTGCTTTAAAATATTCTGTCCAAGCGCGTTTTTTAATGTTTTCCCCCTGAAAGATGACTTTTATCGAGGCGACTGATTGCCCCCACAGGATCCCACGAGATGGATTATAAATCTGTGGAAAGAGGCCTGAGAGAAGAGCGAGGAGGGGTCAAGCTATGTCGGAGTACCTTATCCTCGCGAGCTCAATCAATATGTGGAGGTCACCTATATTTGCACTGACAAACCAGTCAGTCGATGCAGAAGCTGGGAAAATAAATACCCGTGCCTCACGGCATACACAACGGGGCCGCAACTTTGTGTGAGACCTTTTCAAAGCGTTTATGACCAAAAATTATAGTTACATTATTATAATTACCCTTTTCATCTCTGCAGGATCGTTTTGGGATTTCTTAAACGTATTCTATCGTTATTACCTATCCAAAATAGGTTGCAAAACTGGTATTTTGTACATATGAACTTCCCTTCCTTTTGATTAGATACTCCATTTAGCAGTACCGTTTAAATAGCAGCAAGTTTAAATAAATCTAGCGGGTTTAAAGCTAAAGGTAACCTTTACACACCTCTAGCAAAAGATAATCACACTTGTATAGTTTTCATATTATGTTACTTTAAACCTAGTACCAGTGGCCTACTCCACATATTCAAAGAAAAAAACCTATAATTTGAATTAAATGAATAAATATGAAAGAAAGAAACGGAAAAGTCAAGACTGCATAAATATCCAGACGTTTTGCTGTGGCAAACCTAAATTAATTTAGGTGCACAAAATTATCTTAATGAGTTATATGATAAGATGAATGGCCTCAGTGCAATTAAAGTGGTGATCATGATTTCAGATTAGGAACACCTGTCTTTGTGAGGTTCCTTGGTCAGTGAATTTCAAGCATAGACTCAACCATGAGGACTAAAAGAGCTTTCATAGAGTCAGGGACCAAGACGTTGAACAGCACAGATCAGGAGAAGGGTACAAAAATATGCTCCGTCTCTGAATATCTAGTGAGTACAGTCTACTCAGTCCTTGGGTGCGTCATACCACCCAGACACTGCCTTGATCAGGCCAACCTTCCAAACTGAACAGTGAGGCAAGGGGGTGGGAGCTGGTGAGGGATGTTACCACCAGGCCAGCGATATCTCTAAAAGAGCTTCAGGGTTTGATGACTAACGGGCATTATCCCAGTCGCTCTATAAAACTGGCATGTATGGCAGAGTGGAAAACCCATCTCATATCCCACATGGAGTCTGCAACATAGTTCCTGAGTTATCCTGTACAAATATGGCAAAAGGAGTTATGGTCACATGAGACCAAATTGGATAACTTCGGATTAATTTGGGTCAGACCCGACACAGCACATCTCTTGGTGAACGCCATTAGTACAGTCGAGCATGGTGGTGGCAGGATCATGCTGTGGTCATGGAAATCTTGCAAGGATTGAAGTAAAATGGACAAAGTAGAGGCAAATACTAGAGGAAAAAACTGTTCTAGTCCTCTAAAGGCTTAGAACTGGGAAAAATATTCCCCATTCATAAGGACAATGACTCAAAGCACGAGGCGAGAGATATACTGGAGTGGATTATGAAGAAGAGTGGATTATTCATTTCCAGAAACACTGAACACTGCTCTCTAGAAGTGATCTCCAAGCAACTTGAGAGAGCCTGAGCAAATCTACCAAGACAAATGGGGAAAATAACAAGCCAGGAAATTCTTGCAGCTATAATTGTTGCTAAAGCTGCTTTGCAAGGCACTGTATTTTGGTCCCGTTTCATTTTAACAATGCTTGTACTATGTTTTCTGCTTACTGTAATGATTGTGCCATGTGATTGTTAGAAATGGAGAAAATGAATAAGAAATTAATCGATATCTAGTTAATGTACCTGTGAAACATCTATAAGCAAGTATATTTCTGCACCTTGATTACTCTTGGAGTAGGCTAGTAGTAGCCTGGCAGCTGCACAAGGTAAAACAAAATAAGAGAACTGGTCTGCCTAGTGTCGGTGTTTCTTTTACACTCGCCAAACGACCTATTTTCGTCGCCGCAGGAAGCGTGTAGCTGCTTCGGTTCTCCGCTCTGGGAGTTGCTGAGGGGGGCCGTCTGGTCACACAGACGCCACTCGTACGGGCCGCGGATTCGCTGCTGTCTGCAGCGCCAGCGCGGCACGGCCGCGTCCAGCCTCTTGGCTCCCGCGCGTCAGCTCGCAGCTCCCTGCTCTCCCGAGCGTACTCGCTCGCTGGCACGACACCCACTGAGCGAGCCTTCAGACGCAGAGAAGCTCGCGTGTGCCTGTGCCAGTGCCATCACTGGGTTCACATAAATCGGGTTCAATTTAAACAGCAACAATAAAATGCTTGAAAGGGTGACTTTTAAAACATGTACGGATTTTTTTCTACGGATCAGTTTTGCGTACAAAAGAGACCACACCAAAATCATGAAAGGCAAAAACAAATTTGATTTCGACAGGATTTTATTTGGCAGTTATTACAATTATATGAAACTAATCAAAATGGAAATTATATTGAAGCGTTCCTTGTGTTGTGCTCCCAGGCTACTGACTTTAGTGTGCCGAGGGCATGTGTGCATTGGATGTGCAAGGTACTGAAAACGTGAGCTCACTAGCTGTCCCGCCTGGAGCTGCGAGTTTTATCTCCGGGGAGGTCCGGAGCACAGATTCATAACAAAAAGATTATAAACTTATCGGAACATTTTCAAAGGTAAAACGAAAAGTAATTTGTGCCTCTCTTGTGTTTCTTGGAATGCAAGCCATATTTTGAGCATTTTAGGTTATCAGGACTGTTTAAGACGACATACATGAATAAAGTTATAGTAACTCAAGCACGTAGTCGCATTCAGCTCGAACTTTAGCTTTAACATTCCTACCAACCTTATTTTATGTCGCATTATGCTATTTATTTAACGCATTTTAAATGAGAACCTCCAGAAACGTAACCCTGTAATGTATTATCGGCTACTCAGACTCGGGCTACTGAGCAGGAACCTAGGGTGCCTGGAGTTAACTGCGGTCTCCCTGCAGCGACGGCGGCACGGACGGCGCACACCCCCGTCTTCGCTTGCCAGCAGCTGTGCCTCTCTCAGCTAGCCTCCCCCGAGCGGTGGCGCAGCTGCGCACCCGAGCGAGGCGCCGCTTTCCCGGTTACAGCGTCACCCTCCTCCCGTTCGCAAGGTCAACTTGGAAAAACAGCTGCTTAGCCTCCCCATCCCCCGCTGAAACAATCAGAAATCCTTTCAAAAAACAATAAATAAAAGGTATAGGCCTAACGTAAATATTACACCAAATATTGAAGTATAACACACTTTCCTATATTGAAGATTAAAATCGAATGGGAAAACGAACGTGACAGCGAACTTGTGACGGGTACCAGCCGAAAGTTACAGCCTCAAAGCACAGCAGGTTTGTCTGTAAAGCCGCGTTAAAGCTGGAGCCTTTCAGCCCGTTTGCGCTTGGACACCGACTCGGTGTCTGCCTGCTGCCCCCGCAATGGCGTGTAGATTCCGGCAGGAGTCAGCACGCAGCTTCCGCTGGAATGGAAGCCTGGTTGAGGGCAGAAAAAAGGGGCGTTTTTCTCCCATTTTTTAGACGCTAAAATAAGCATTTCTTTACTATTAACTGGTCGTTTTCAAGCTCCGTGCAAAAATAAAACGCGTTTTTACATGTATATATCCTTTACATGGCAGAAGTATTTTTCTTCTAAAATAATTTAAATCTCGATTAGCATAACATGCATAAAACTATAATTTCAAAACTAATTTTAGATTACGTTTGCTTAAAATGAAGGCATTTTTTAATTAAGACGATCCGAATGGTTTTGAGGAAAGGAAGACGAGAGCGGGCGCCGCTGCCTGCCTTCGCCCCAAATCTCTCACTGCAGCGCCGCCATGAATGCTACAAAGACTCGGGGAGAAAACCACAGAAAATGCTTGAAAACGTCGCCAAAAAACGACAGGTCGCTTACCTTTCGTGGCAGATTGGAATGGGCGAATCCTCCGATTTAAAATAATGTCGTGTTAGTGTATTTTCGGCTTTTTTCAGTTCTTTTTCTCAACAGTAAACCCCGGGGAGTCAGGACGAAACAGATCCGACAAAAGGAGCGTCTGGTCCGGTATGAAACTCCGCCCAGCGCCGCAGGGGGAGGAACTCCGACGGAAAACATGCGAGAAAAAAACTGAGACAAAGGCGGAGGCTGGAGGCGAAAAATGTAGAGGATTTCTCTCTTAACTAATTTTATTTTTTAAAAAACGGTAATAACAAACAGCTATAAAATCACCGAAATGGGCATTTAGTGCTCACTCATCATCGCGGGCTAAATTGTTTAAATATTTTGAAGGAGACACGATTTATTATTTAGATTGTAAAGTATAACAGTTGTTGCGTTTAATTTTGCTTAAAACCTGCTTTTTTCTGTTTTTCCTTCTTGGATTTGCACGAATGAGATACCTGTCAGCGGTCCCTCGCTCTGGGAGCCTGTATCGGTACCCGGGCATCGAGCGCCCTCATAGTCAAAACCTACAGCGCCTTCCCGGTCAGCCTCCGCCACTCGTCCGCGTCCCATAACTGCTGATCGACCCGCTGTCAGACATCCATTAAGCCGTAGAAAAAAACACGGGGGTGCACAATGTCTGCAGAAGGACTGCCAACGAGACGTTATTTTCTTGGGTAATAATACATTGTACACAGTTTGTTTTTGCAGAGCGCAAACGTATAGCTAAACGTGTTTTTCAGACCAGAACAAGTCTGTACAAATGATTTAATTTTTTCAGTTATAAATATTTGCAGTGCTGTAGGTCACAGTGCCATGACGAGAAAAATGTAGCCCAAAACGCAGTCATCATCACCCCCAGTCTTCGCGTTTCACACGCGAATATTTTGTTTTTGGCGCTACTGAACACGTTGCAGCGCTGTCTAGTTTGTGCAACTTCCAGGGCGAGACGCATGTCTGGATACGGGAGCGCCGGAGTGATACGCAGGTCTTATCGCGTTGCTATGGAGTTTTCTTTAGGGAAAATTGACCAATGGGATGAGGAAGGGAAGAGACGGGATTGTTTTCACCCCTCCTACCTGCTGCAAGTGTAACGTGCGTGATTTAGAAGGAGACCGAGCTGGAAAGGTTCTCAAGTAAAATGAAAGACCAGAAAGGGATTATGCTGTGCATAGGATTTGAAAAAAGTGAATAGACACTCTTGTATGAAATACACTTATTTTTTGTCTTGGGAGCCCTAGGGGACATCTCAACATCTGAGTTAATAGCAATGAGCTTTCACATTGCTAGGAAGATTGTTTTGTTGGCCTTCCAGCTCTTAGCTGTATGGGTAGTTTTTTTACCTGGGCACATGGACACACTGCTGAGGGCTTTATCAAAAAGTACGCTATAGGATTCATTTCCAGTGACTGGCCTGTTTAGAGTTCTGTCATGACTTTCTTTGGCCTGGAGCATGAGGTGGTTAGATGTACACTGGCTTTGCATGTAAATGAAGCTGTTGACTTGAGAGTGATGCTTCATGCTTGCCTCTTGGGCTACACATTCCCAAGCTGCCACTGTCCTTCCCCCGCTGGAGTGTTTTATCTTGCCAGGCCGGTGTTTCTGCAAAAGCATTTCTGCAACAGGACTTTTCTCTGCCAGTCCTGTGCATTGTAACTGTGTGCATATCTGGTGTTTCCTGCTTTCTCTGAGTTTATCTGATACACTAAAGCAGAACAAGACGTATTGTCCAAGACGACTTGTCAGAGCTGAAGGGAAATGACACAGGGACCACAGCATTTCACAAATTAAAAGTGCATCTGAATAAGCAGGGGTGACGTCTATAGTGGAGAGTAGAAAGAAAATATTTCAGCTGTGGATCTTTCTTCATGTATGAGAGGCTGAGGGAGGGACCAGGAATATGAATAGGAGCATTACTTTTCAGCAATGGACATAACCTCTCTACTCATTGCTTTGAAACCTCTTTAAGTGCATGACTCTTTAGTACTGAAGAAGGATGCAGTGCTATTGCTGACTGTTTGCTTCTTAAAGTACAAACCATAGCACAGTTTCAAACACCCTTCATAGGTTGTCCCCAGCATAACAAGACCTGGAAAAACTACAACTGAAAACAGGGAATGGGTGAAAACAAAGGAATTGCAAAGAAATTCGAAAAAATGATAACTAATGTGCTTCCAGTTTCCACAGTCCAAAGACACATTAGTAGGTTAATTGGTGTCTGGTAAAACTGGCGCTGGTGTGCTCTGAGTGGACTGGCATTCCAATCAGGGTGTATCCTGCATTGTGCCTGTTTGCTTGCTGGGATAGGCTCTGACTCCCCCACAACCCTGTATCATACGAAGCTGTTAGAAAATGAATAGATGGATAAACAATGCAATACACAAATTGGGATTTTCCTGCACTCAGATATTGTAAAAATAATACAGAGAGTCTGGATGTTTAAATCTGGACATTTTTATTTTTTACAGAACCAAACTTCAGTCAACAGTGCAGCACACAAAACTTTTCTGCAGTGAGGTGTGTTTTTGGTTAAAATGATACAGTTCACAACCTCAACAGTTTTCCTTGAAGTCTTGTCTTTCCATTTTTTCCAGTCCCATCAGAGTTTTTTTTTCAGAATTCTCCTGGAAGCTGAATTGCTCTTCTACAGGAAAACTGTTGGGTCTTGATAACTTATAATTATTATGATAAACAATGCCTGTGTACAACAGGAAAGTCTTCTTACAAAGTAGGGTGAGTAAAGTGTTGTGTAATAGGCCTATACAATTTATTTACAATGTTGAGCTTAAGATGATTTTGACACAGGATAAGGTTATCAATTTTACTATCCTCTCCTCTAAAATAGCTAAGGTATTATATTGTGATTGAGGGTCAATGGTTATTTTTTACCCTGACTGATTTACTGTTCTTTCAGAATAAACAGTGAAACACGAACCAGGAGGCACAAGTGGAACTACCTGGAAGTGCATTTAAAACTGAGAAGAGGAGACGCGTCTTTATCCAAAGGCAGGTGGGAGTGTGGAACAAGCTACACAGCCATGTTGTTGAAACTGATGTCCTGGCTTCTTTCAGGAAATGGCTGGATGAGATTCTTGGGTCAAATAACTACTAATTACCAAATAGGCTACATGGGCTGAAAGGCATCATTGTGTTTGCAGCCTTTCATATTTTTTCTTATTTACAGTTCCATCTTGTACATTGTAATACAATATAACCTCAAATAATGAATTACAATCTTACAAATTAATTTAGAATATCTGAGATGTTTTATAAATTGCAAATGATAAGATAGTACAATGTGATATTTATACGAATTATATGACAAGGTTGCAAAGTTGTCAGTTTACCGATATAAATTGTTCACACTAACGTTTAAATTGATTTCAAATTATTAGTGTCATTCTGCCACCTGGAGGAAATGTTGTAAATTACAAGATTATTTTTATACTGTGAATAAATTCGTCCATTGATACAAGGAAAGTGGACATTTCCTTCTTTGCAACTCCATTTCTATACAGTACTGTTAAAATATAACAAAAGCATGAAAGATGACCAACATAGTTTGATAAAGAATATGGTCTGTGACGCATATAGTGAATAGACATATTAGTATGCAGATGCATGCACCCTCAATACATTTCACATTGATATGTTGCTGTCGGAGTAACATGCTTTAAGATGTGCTCCGTGATCAGATGCTGTGCTTTAGAATAGTGTACAATTTTGGTAATCACTTTATAAAAATGAGTTGCTTTGAAATATGTCCTGAGAAAATGAGGTGCATACATTTCTGTTCTTTCAAGATTTAGCCTGGCATGTAGGCATCAAGGTTGTGGCCTACAATGAAAAAGACTGAAATACACCTCATTCATTCAAGGAAGCCAATTCAAATGTTCAACGGCAAGCCAGTGGACCTCTTCAGAATCAAAGGTGAAACATTAACCAGAGGACAAGTGGAAACTAGTGAGGTTCATTTTAAGCCAGTTAACATGAGGCACTCCTTTATGCAAAGGGTTGTAAGAGCATGGAACAAGCCTCCCAGCCATGATGTTAAAACAGGCTTTAAAAAAACTGTTGAATGAGATCTTGGGATCCAATTAGCTGCTATTAACCAAACAAGCATAGTAGGTTATCTTGTAAAAGAATGTGTCTGCATCCATTTCTGTCAAACTGCATCGAGAGTGTGAATATTCTGAACTGCCAAATAAGAGAGGTCAATCAGTCCATTTCAAGTGTTCTTTTTGTTAAGGTATTGAGAGCTTCAGATGTCTTAACACAGTCTCTTAACACGTAGTGCTGTTAATGCTTCTGTAATGTATTTTGTACATAGTGTGTGTCTATATGTCTCTCTCTGCTCAGCAATGGGCTGGTGTCCTGTCCTGGGTGTATCCACACCTTCCACCCATTTCATTTCAGGATATTCTCCGGTCCCTCTGCGACCCTGAATTGAATGAAGCGTATTCATGTATTTATACATTATTATATTATAAATATTAATGTATTAATACATTAATCGAGTCTAGGTGTGGAAACTCACAGAATTCCACTGACAGAGGACAAAGTCTGTAGGGTTAGGACAAAGGTGTCATGGTCATCAGTGAAAGCTGAAGACCACACTCATTTCTTTTGAGCAGTCAGGAAAATTAACCACACAAGCAGAATTACATAGTATTTTTTTATTTTTTAACCATATTGAAATGTGAAATGCACAGAAAATGTTAAATCAAATGTTTTAAGGAGCTGAGAACTACAAAAAAAGGTCTAAGAAAATTTGTTCAAAGAATTAAAATCAAAGTTAAAATCAGCAGACACAGGTTTGCTCTAGAACCAGAGTTAAAAACCACCCTAGTTTCAAGGCAGTGGTCTCCAACCCTGGTCCTGGAGAACCCCAAGCCTTCAGCTTATACATATTTATTAAATAAAGGGGCTAAACATCATGCTCAGCTATCAACAACTAAGTAGTAGAGAGTTCAGCTGGAGCAACTATTAGACATTTAAAAAGGTACATCGAGCCCAGGATTATTGTGATTTTGCACTGTTGCAGTGTATTGTCTCTGCAGTGGCTGACATCTGATGGCAATGAAGGCCCTGCCAGAGCTCTGGCCTTCTGTTGTGCTACAGTGGGTCAGAGAGGAAGGCGTTGAAGCTTTGTACAGTACATGGCCAGTTATCCGAGTCAGATAACCTTAAGCACAAAGTCAGCAATGTCTCAAGAGCAGATATATGGCACACATTTCATATTTATTCCCAATGTAACAGAAGGGAACGAGAACCAGACTGCCACCAGGGGTGAAGAGATGACATTTTTATACCTCTGCAGTGAAGATGCATCTGCTGTCGCTAGTTCAGGCATGTCACACCAGAGCAGCTGTCTACTTCGCTCTATGAAGCTCTCTCTCACCACAACGTAATCATTGTTAATGACACATGGAAAAATCTCAGCATTAGAAACAAAAACTCACAGAAGCCTAGAAAAAGAAGTCTCTTGTCAGACACTTAAAATGCAAGATGAAATGTAACAGACTGGTAAAAGACTGGTCCAAACTTGCCTGGAGACTGGAGCAAGGCAGGTCAAAACCAGAGAAAAGACAGTGTTCCCTCCTAGCAGGAGCCCTTGAGACTGAGCTCAGCTGGACTGTGGATTCTGGACCTTCAGCTCAGACAGCTGCAACAGCCCTCAATGCCTGAGAAGAGGCCTTCACTGAAGCTGCCCTGCACAGCGCACACTTAGAGGCCACGTCTCCAGCGGCAGCTTGTCCTAGATCTTTAAATTATGTATTTTAAAAAAGGGACGTTTCTACGCGTTTATAAAAAATAAGCAAAAAATGAACCATTGCCTACACCCACGGTATCGGTGAGACTCTCATTAAGAAGGTGAGGTCAGCCTCACCATTTGTTTCACATCAAGTTTTATTCCTAAAAAAATGAAATGAAATAGTTTAGTTAAATGTATATAATTATTTTATTTAGGCCATTTTGTTTTGCCAATTTCTATCTAAAAATAACTCATTTGATTTGCTTCAAATACTAAAAATAAAAGTACAATTCTTAAAAAAGAAGGTCACAGGAGGAATGTACAAAGCATTTACTTGACCACCGGGTAAGTGTTATGTAACAGGTGAAAAACTACAAAGAGAAAATATAGGCAAACTTGTTTAACATCTCAAGGCACAGAAGAAAATACCTATGAAATATACTTTTTATGGTTGGTGCAAATATAGTGCATTCAAGCATTTTCTACAAAAAAAAACAATTGGCTTTGTATTAAACCTTTTAACACTTTCAGTGTGTTCACTAAGCCAATTTCCTTGATAATACAATGTAGACTGTCTGAGTGAGTGTTAGAAGTTCTGGATGATGACAAGATACTGACATTAGCATATGCCCCCTTAATTCCTATGCACGACTGTCTTCTCTCCCCTTAAACAAAAACTCTACATGTATTTCTAACACTATATGTTAATCCCAAGACCACACAGCCCATTTATTACATTCAAAGAGCATAAGACGTCCAAAAAATCTAAAAAGGGTCTAGGTATTCACAGGTACACTAGACCATATGAAATCAATCCTCCACATTGATCATGATAAAATGTACTAACTGTTGAATAAATAAAGATATCCCACACAATGGTTAAGAATGACATGGCCTTTTTTACTCCGTAGCATTACCAACTGAACCAGTCTGCAGTACATGGTACTGACTCAAAGAGAGAACTACAGACTTCACCTGTGGAAAGTCTTATACTGTACTTTCTACAAAGTGAGGTCTCTTACTGTATCTCTGGTATCTGTAGTAAGGGCAGACGAGAGTTAGTGTTCTCTTTTGGTACTTTGATTAAGTGCATATAATAAAAATACAGCAGTATGATATCCAACTCTACAAGTGTTTTAGAAGAATGATATCTTGACATCAATAGTAATCACACAGTAGTGCTAATAGACTGCTGTACTGCAGAACACCCAGTCCTATGGAACAAACAAACCAATATGGCTATTGTAGTAGGGAGCTACTGAAAATATTTCTGACTCTCCTCTCCAGAGCTTAGCATTAAAATAATGTATTGCTTTAAAATTCAACATTGTATATGGACTATGGCTTAAAACAATAGTTTTAATATTTAAAATTATCTTCAAGTTTTTGGTACCAATTATTCCTGTTGATGTTTGTCCAGATTCTCTGAAGCCCCTGCCACTAGACAAACGCAACTGGCAGCTCCATCGTTCCAGAACCACACGAGGAGAGGGCCCGTCTTTCAGGCCTGACTAGGACCTGTCCAGCAGGGACACAACGGGGGACCCCTGTGGTACAGTCTGTTTTTCTGCAAGCTAAAATCGGGGTGGGGAGGGGGAATTGATGATCAGCTGATAGCCAGGCTTTCTAAAGCAGTGTAAAAGGGGAACAGACGCATGCTTCTGCCCTGCAGCACATCTCCATGACTTCAAAGAGCTGCGCTCTGGTAAGCGCTGGAGTCCAGCCAGCAATGCAGTTCAGATAGTGAGAAGCAGAAGAAGTGAAGAGATCACTTCAGTACCTTCCTAACTCTGTTGAACCTGGAATGGGAAACTCCACTGCTGTGCCATCTCTACAGAAAGATGTAAAATCCCAGGGGAGAATTGGAGGAGGGAAATATATTGGCAAATGGAATTAAAAATTGCTGTTCCACTTCGCCACAGGATTCCAGAACTTCACACATTCCCTCAGAACACTCCTGGAAAGAAAGGGCTCTGTTCACACCTCTGGAGGAGGTAGACCAGCAAGCCACTAACATCCACCACCGACACGACAGCAGCCATAAACCACTCTCCTTCAAAGAGCTTTAAGTTTCTTACTTGTTCTGTTTCATTTCTGTTACACATTATTTTCTGATGTGGTCTCTGCTTAGGTTGCTAATTGTCTTGCTTCTCAAACCTGAGTGACAAGAAACAACAACACAGGTAAGAGGATCTGTATCAGAGATAAATGTACACCTGTAGTGTTTTACCAATAGGTAATACACATTTCATCCCCTGTACCCTTTCTAGCAATAAATGTGAAAGCTAACTTTCTTTGGAATATATATATAAGTGCTGCAACATAACATAACATAACATAAGCCAAAACAATTCTATACCGTCACATGATAAATACAACAACAAATAAAAAGCAAATGACACCAAGCCATCACTGTAATTCATTACCATTGAAGAACCACAATGAATGAGATTAAATGACTGTGGCCAGGGCCCCCTTACCACATGAAAAAGCCAAGCAGATTTGTAAGCAAGCGTCTACATTTCAAACTCAGAAATCAAAATCCAAGGAAAGCCAAGAGTGTATGACACCAGGTCACTCAAGGAGCACCACGCTGATGAACTCAGAGCTCAATTTTCCAAGACCAACAGAAACAGCGTGAACAGAGCCCTCCGTCCAGGCAAGATTGCCAGAGTCTTTCTCCTCTCTTTAAGGCAGATGCAGATTTGCAACTTTCTTTGCAACAATAGATTCCTATATACTGTAAATAGGGCAACCCCACTCCTGCTCCTGGGAACTCATTGCCCAGTAAGTTTTACAGGTCACAGTTAAATCACCTATTTCTAAAGGCCTGCAATAATCAATTGCAATTTATTTTTAAATGAACTTACAGATAAAAAAACTTAACCCCTCAAGGACTAGAGTTCTTTTAATTGAAGAGGACTTGCTTAATCGATCAGTAACTTCCAAGTGTTCCCAGTCTTTAGAAATGTGTGATCGAGTGACCTTTAAAACCTGCTGGACTAGGGCTCTCCAGGACCAGGGCCCTGCTGTCCTGAACCAGAGGTACCCTGGAGCAGCCCTGCCCTCAAGGAGAGCTCCTGCAAGAAGACTGAAGATTACAGCATGTCTGCAGCATAGACAGCCTTCAACACACAACTGTTTACAAACATTGGTCACTTACAAATCCAGGTGAGTCACAAAACCCCAAGAGAATCACTTAAAACCTGAAGTCAACATAATGTGCTGATTCTAAAAACAAATGTGAAAACAAATTCTCCTTGTGCGCATTACTCTCTGTGCAGTGGTACATGATTCGGAGGCCTCTGGCCTGTAGTCCTTTCAGATCCCAAAATGGAAAGCAGGCACCAGAACTACTAAGAACTACATTGTGCGCTAGCCAGCTACAGTTTCCTATTGCTGTTTGCCTGAATACGACCCACACCACAGTGTTTACCCACACTCCCACCTCGCACACCAACAAAGACAAGCATGCAGTGCACTACAAACAAAACATTGCACGGCTACAGGGAAGGGTGATTGATGCTGGAGAGATATATGGGTCTTAAGATAAAATTAAAAAATA